TGCAAAGTTCCACTTCTGGTTCATATTATTTTCTACGTAGAATGAAGTAGTTTTTACCAGAAAGGTATGTTTACCTGACCCATTTTAAGTGTTTCACAGGAAAAAATATTTTTTTTTTAGAATGGGATAAAACTTTGAAGTCTTAATCATTCAGAATATAATTTGCAGTAATTCTTTTAAAAATATTTCTTCAGATAACTTGAAAATCTGTAAGCACATTATAAAAAATTGCCAAATATTGACATTTTTTGATACAAAATAATCAGCAGCCAAGCTGAAGTGAAAACAATCAGTATGTCTTAACACATGTTGATGTTTCTATCATAAAGGAGAGTAATGGTCAGAAAATATGCTTTAATAGACTCACTTTTGTAAAGACTACCCCAAACCATAAAACCAAAGTCCAAAACATATGTAAAGAAACAGGTTTGGCAGGATAAAGTACTCAAAATGTCAGAGTTGTTATGTCTGTATGAGTAACAGGTGATTTTCTACAACTCGTTTCTCGTGCAACTCAAAGCATCCATAAATATCAGAACATGGAAATTAATAGGAAGAAACGTGGCTGTGTGCTTCTTACCTAACTGCAGCGTAGCAGCCAGCAGAGCATGGATGTAGACTGCAAACTGGGCCCGGATCCATTCGTCACCTCCCTCCCAGCCTGTGCCATCCAGGAAGACATCATCCCTGTTCTCAGTCACATGCCTTACTAGGTAATCTGCGAACCTTAGGTCTGCAGTGGTTGGGTTAAGCAGCTTCCTAAGTTCTGGATCGTGGATCTGGATCAGTGCTTCTTCCACCTACAAGAGTACCCAGGTACAAGTCAGAGCTGAGACACTCACACAGATAATCACCCCACATCTTAAAAAGTAAACACTGGGGAACTGGAGTTAGAAATAAAGCAAAGGAGTAACAGTATTCTCAAAGATGTGTTTAAGAAAGAGGCAGGTTTTTATACTGAAGTTTCTATATACTTTCTCTATTTTTATAAAAAAAAAAGCCGTTTTTATTTTTAGAAAATATAGGTAGAAGAGGAAAGCTGACTCAGTGGTTAAGAGCACTTGCTGCTCTTGGAGAGGATCTGGGTTTGTTTCACAGCACCTACATGGTTGCTTATATCCATGGGTAATTCCAGTTCTGGGGGATCTGGCACCCTTTCCTGACCTCCACAGGCACCAGGTATGTACACGGCACACACGTGTATACATATACGCAGGCAAAAATAAGCACACATAATAAATAAGTCTTTAAAAAGAGAGTGACTTACAGAAAAGAAAACACATGTGCAAATATGACTTTGAACTATAAAAGTAATTCATGCTTTTTAAAATCTTTGGTAGTGTAAATACTTGGGGAAACACAGATACATACACAATGAAATTTGCCCTTATATTAACACAGAAAACAAGCTTAGTTATAAGTCCTTTAAATTTTTCCATTTTGAGGGCATGAATACTTCAGAATATTTTAAATACATTTTTTTTTTGTATTTAAAATGTATTTGTACATTTATGCACAAAAAAAACTAACTTGCAAGGCTTTGTTTTATTTGTTAGCTGCTGGTGATTAAAGATCTTAGGCATAGTTAGCAACCTCCAACGATTAGTTTTAGAGTGAAATAATAAAACTTCTATCAAACAACTTCTGAACGTTAAGGCACTCTGGTGCTCTCACCCGTGCTCTCCATTATACTGTACACTCCTCCCCGCTTCAAATTTGGGATAATGATGTAACTTTTTGAATCTTGGATATTTCATCTGTTATATTTCAACCATTTCCCCATAAAGTATGAACTTTCTCTCAGTAATTATAAAAACCTTAGTGAGTTAAAAATCCCAACATTTTAAAATTGTGAAATTAAATGAATAATTAAAAAAATTTAAATATAGCTGGGCAGTGGTGGTGGCGCACACCTTTAATCCCAGCATTTGGGAGACAGAGCCTGGCAGATCTCTGTAAGTTCGAGGCCAGCCTGGTCTACAGAGCGAGTTCCAGGACAGGCACCAAAACTACACAGAGAAACCCTGTCTTGAAAAACAAAAATAAACAAAAACAAAAACAAAACTGTAAATATATTGATAAGGTATCAAATATCTACTCTGAAATTCCTTAACATCAGGAATCTATTAAGCAGGATATATGTTTAAATTATTTTGAAAAAAAAAATCCACATTTTAATAAGGCTTTGAGACCACGATAGGTCTGGTTTACTCAAGCTGGAATCCTTGCTCAAGCATTTGCCAGGTGTTTGATAATGGAAGAGAGAAAAAAAAAAAACCCAAACAAACAAAAAGTATATAATTACAATTACTGGAACACAGCCACACTATTTCTTTATTAGTGCTGTTACTGCATCTTCACAGTCATATTTGGGAAGGAGTAAGTGAGGCAGCGGGCCAAGTCCACGCACTCAGACATAAACGTACTTCCACAATGGCATCACTGAGGTGCTTCTGTTGTCGGAAAAGGATGTTAGTAGCTCCAGCCACAAATCCCCGGACGGTGACGTCAGAGAGAAGGTGATGCTGCTGCAGTGCCATGTAAGGCAAGCACAGATATCCCTGTGGATTACAAGGGCAGCAGAAAACAACAGAACAGTAAACAAAACAGCCCCTTCTCTTTTTCAAGCCAAAAGCAGAAGAGCAAAGAGTAAAAGAAATGTCCAATCTTCCCGCCTGTCTAGTTCACCTAAAATAATATTCACAGAGGAATGTCTTGCCTTGACTGCAGTAAGTCCAGTTACTGATTTATTTGCTTCACAAATAATGGTCAAACCTCTCTGTAAGGCTGTCTTATCTGATCACTTTATTTTTAATTTAAATAAAGTCTGACTTTTTTTTAATTTAAGAAATTAAAAGCATGACATGCACTGAAAAGTATGTTGTCTAACAGGAAGCAGTTAAGAATTTTATTTAAAACCTGCATCTGTACACAGCCACCAAGGTGCAATGAGAGAAGCAAAGCACCCCATTTCTTATCCAATATGTCAAAATGTTTGCTACAAACTAGTTAAAGCACAAGTTATACTGGCAGTGTTTGTGTTTAATTTCCATTTGAGATCGCACTGCTTAACATGAGAGTTAGATCACTAATCCTCAGCAGTCACTTAAGGCTGCAAACCAACCAAGCACAAGCAAGCCCAACCCCGCACAGTCCCGAGTTAAGGATGCGGTCAGGGATAATGCCTGTGCACAAAGGCAGGGGGGAGCTGCTGAATCTTAGGGGCAGCCCCGTGTTGTACATAAACCATCACACTCACTGAAGACTTATTCTGATTCAGAATCTTTTTCCTTCCTGTGAGTATTTTGACTGGGTTACTTACAAAGAACCTTGTCTTGGAAACACACACACACATCCTTCCACCCAGTAGTTTACCTACATTTATCCTGAAGACATCCCTGCTCATCTGTTGCTGTATTTTTAAGTTACTTAATACAGTACTGTTTATCGTAAATAGGATTCATAACTTCACGGAGTGATGTAAATTTCTAGCCATATAGTGGAACATTCTAAAACCATAAAAAGTGATGGAGTTTAACTCTCAGGAATGTAATGTAGATGTGATCAAGAGTAGAAAAAAATGGGCACAGACAGCAATTATTTGTTTAAAAGGAGTGGGGAAATCCGTGGGAAGGCCTTGCTGGTCAGAGGTTACAGTTTCTCATGGCCTGGCAGCTTTTTTCCAAAGCTCAGTGACATGGGGACTCCCTTCCCCCCAAAGAGACTTCCTGTTCTCTACCTGCCCTTATCTGAAAGCTATCTCTAAGCCTGCATGTCTGATTTATCTCTAGGGTGACCCTTGGCACAGTTTCCTGCTAGAAGGCTCCCCTGCTGCACATATGGTAACTAAGACTTGTGCTAGGAGCTTGCTGTACGACCCTGTTGCCATACATGAGGCCTTATGATAGGTCCATACCACTTAATCCAAATTAGGATTTGTCCCCAGGCTCTCCAATCCTATATATTTCTTATATTCAGGAATAAAGCTGAGCAGATTCACTGAAGTCATCTCCCGGAAGGCTGTCTCCATCACAACCGCAGCTGTCCAAAACAAACCCTGTTCCCTGCTTCTGATCCCTCCACCCTCGTGAACCAATGTGCCAACAATCTGGAGGAAGAAGCAGAACCACAAAAATCTATGCATAGATCCTTATGCCATAGAATACCACTAGAAGGAAACAAGACATTGGTAATGTTTGAGGCCATTACAGAAGGCAGATGGGTAGAAGGATGGGTTAGGAAACATTTCTTTTTGGTTCTAGAGGTTGAATTCTGGACTGTGTGTTTGTCAGGCATGCATTCTACATCCTCTGTCCACAGTTTTATTACAGGTTCTTTGAACCTTTTTACTACTGAACTATGTGGAAATGTTACAAATTGGTACAATGTTCCAAAGAATTTAATATGGTGTCATTATTTTTCTTTTCATGATGTTCAATTTAGCTAAAATCTTTGGGAGGTACTAGAATATGGTTGCAGAAGAATATAGTCTTTTTCCAAAAAGCAAGTTAAACTCACTCCTGGTTTCCCACTTATCTAGGACAACTTAACATCTGTATCTGAAACAATACCATATAGTGCTAAAACAAGACAAAAAAAAAACAAAAAAACAAAAAACCAAAACCACAGAACAATTATCACATATGATTAATATACATGACTATACATATTACAACAAATAAAAATCCCAAGCAAACATCATGAGATATATGCATATCCATATTTTCAGAAATAATCATAATAGCCAAGAGGTAGAGGCAATGAATGTATCTGCCAATGAGTGAGTGGAAGAAAAAAAGTAGGGTAGAATAATATAATGAAATAGTATTCATCTCCCCTTCAACTATCCATCCAAACACTAAAAAATATACTCTATATATTCAGTTACAAGTTGGGAAGTTAAGTGACTTTGTTTTTATACAGAGTCCTACTATCTTGGGCTGGTCTCAAATGCAGGATTCTGCTGCCTTAGCTACCAAAGTGCTGGGTCGCAGTCATATGCCACCATACATAGCTGAGATAATTAAATTTCATTATTTAATTTTTTTGTTTTAAATTGACAAATAGCAATTATAAGGAAGTAACTTCTAATCATAGTTTTTATGGTACCTCAACTGATTTTACTAAATGACTTATAACTGGAGAGAAAAGCTGACACATGAAATTAAACAGAAAAGGTTCCCAGTCCTTTCTAGAAAGCCAGCCCAACACTAACTATGCCAGAATGTGCCCAATTCCAGTGCAAAATCAGGGGGAAATAGAAGACCCTCAATATGGAATTTTCACACCCTAAAATACTTCTGTCTCTTTTTCAGCTCCTCTCACCCCCCTCAGAGTTCTTTGCTCACTGAGCTGCACAGCAGCAGAGCACGAATTCACGGCATGATTTAAATTTTTTTCTACCACTTTTAGTATCCACAATTCACTTCCTATGACTCCATGGGTATCTTGCTTGATAGCTGCTTCTAGACTCATCATTTCCTCAGCCCTTCTGTTACTTCTGTATATTTCTTAAATCAGCTCTCAGGAAAAGGTCAGACAAACATTTGGCAATCTATTACCTCTGGGGTTTAATAATAAACTTGGACTGTAAGGCTGCCATGGCATCCTTCTTATCCAAGTTCAAATACTAAGAGCTGGGGAACTGGCTTAGCAGTTAAGAGCACAGGTTGCAGCCCAGTGGTTCCCAGCACTTGAGAGGCAGAGGAGGCGAATCTGAGTTCGAGGACAGCCTGGTCTACAGATGGAGTTACAGGACTACACAGGAAAACCCTGTCTCAAAAAACCACCACCACCACCACCACCACCACCACCACCACCACCACAGGCTATTAGCAGGACCTACATGGTGGCTCACAACCCTCTGTCACCCAAGCTTTAGGGTATGTGACACCCTCTTCTGACCTGAGCAGGCAATGCATGTCCCCATATACAAGCAGGCAAAAATCTTATACATATAAGAGAAAAATAAATTTCAAGTAAAAGAATTCCAGAAGGAAAACAGCTTAAAGACAATCTGGTTTTAAGAACACTTCATCTGGGGCTGGAGAGATTGCTCAGTGGTTAAGAGCACTGCCTGCTCTTCCAGAGGACCTGGGTTCAATTCCCAGCACCCACATGGCAGCTCATAACTAACTGTCTAAAACTCCTGTTCCAGGGGAGTCAACACCCTCATACAAACATACATGCAGGCAAGACACCAATGTATATAAAATACAAGTAAGTAAATTAAAAAAAAAAGAACATTTCATCTTCCAAAGTTACTGACAAAGGATCAGTATTTGTAGTTAGAAGTGTGATTTTTAGAAGTGTGGGTTTTACTCAACACACAATAAAAGATAAAACCAAGAAGAAAAAATGATTTACTTAGCATAGTAAAGTGGTGAGCCTATCACATATTCAGTACTGGCATAAAGCACATAAATCTATCAGCTAAACATGGTTTACTGACAAGATTTATATCACTTTAATTCACAAACTTGACCCTCAAAACCAAAATTTTCCTTTGCTTCATTTGCCTCCCAATAAAAAGTGCTCTGAAAGATGCAGGAAATAAGGACAGTTAAAAAAAAAAAAAAATTCACAACCTGGGATTGAGAGCTGACTCACCGATGAACACCTGATGCTTTGCAGAGCACATGGGTTTGGTTCCCAGAACACTGACGGTAGGCCACAACTATCTATCACTCCACTTTCCAGGGATCTGCCACTCCTGGGACATCAGGATCACATGGCACACATACATTTATTTTCATAGTTCGTGTTTCTATTGCTGTGATAATATACCCTTACTAAAAGCAAGTTGGGAAAGAAAGGGTTTATTTCACCTTCCAGCTCTCAGGTCACACTCCATCACTGAGTGAAGGCAGGGCAGGAACCTGGAGGCACAAACTGAAGCAGAAACCTGGAGGCATGTTACTACTGACTTGTTCCCCAGGGCTAGCCCAGCCTGCTCTCTTATGTAACCTAGAACCATATGCCCCAGGGTGGAGCCACCCATAATGGGCCGAACTCTCTCCCATAAATATTTATTCAAGAAAATGCCCTACAGACCTGCCCACAGGCCTATCTTATGGAGTTGTTTTCTCAATTAAGATTTCCTCTTCCCACATATGTCTAGGTTTGTGTCAAGTTGACAAAAACTAACCAGGACATTTGACTTCTTGTCCATTTGACACAAATACATCACCTAATCATAACCTTTTCTTTCTTGTTCATCCCCAAGATCTATTAATATCACAATATAAACAGAATATTTTAAAAAGTTCTTCAGTCTTTAAAATATTTCAATACTTTAAAAGTCCAGGTTTTCTTGAAAAGTTCAACATCTTTTAAAAGTTCAGTCTCTAAAATATCTAAAGGCTCATAACTGTGGGTTCCTGTGGGGAGAAGGCAAGATAAGTGCTTTTTTATTCCAAGAGAAGAATGAAGGGAGAGTCACAATCTAAACAAAGGAAAAACCAAAGTCCCACGATGTAAAGCTCGGTGTCAGACACTGGGACTCAATCTTCTGGGCTCCGAAGGGCTTGTGCAGTACCACTTCTCTGGCTCTGGCATCCAAAGCACATACAGTTGTTTCATAGGCTCCCGATTGCTCCATTCCACAGCTGTCTTTGATGCTCATCACATGACTGGAATCTCCAAAATGCTGGTATTTCTTCCGCAAATGGCTTGCACCTTCATCAACAGCCTCTCTCCTACTCTCTTCGGGGACTCTGACTCTGTTATACGATGCTAAGTCTCAACTTCTCTCCACAACCTTGGGGCTTCAGTCTTGGGGCTCCTTTACCTGAGGCTGCACATTCACTAGTGGTTTCTCCTAGCTTCTTACTGTGCTAATCCCCAGCTACACTCCATGTCTCCTTCATGGTTTGAAAACCAGTACCATCTGGGAGATGCTTACACATTACCAAGTTTAGTAGCCAGCACGACAGCCTTGTTCCTCTCTGGACCACAGCTTGTGTGCTGACCCTGAGGAAACATTTCCCAGATTTTTGCCTTGATGATGTCAGTCTCTTTTGGTTTTTTGTTTGTTTGTTTGCTTGAGAGAGGTTTTGTCTGTGTAACATCCCTGGCTGTCCTGGAACTTGCTCTGTAGACTAGGCTGGCCTTGAATTCAGAAATCCTACCTGCCTCTGCCTACCGAGGGCTGGGATTAAAGGCATGTGTCACTATGCCCAGCTCGATGTTGGTCTTTTTCTAATCACAGCTGATTCTTTAGCTCCAGCTGACCACTATAAACTGTCCCAGCAAAGCAAAGATTTCACGTTAGTGGTTCTGACCTCTTGTTAATTGTAGTGGATTCTTCATCGCAGATGACCAGATCTACATTTCTTAACTCAAAATAACAAATGGCCCTGATAGTCTTTAAGGGACTCTTCAAGCTTTCCTCTGAAACTTCACAAGCCAGGCCTCCATTGTTCATATTGCTCTCAATATTAATTTCTAAGGTTCCCACAACAGTTTATTAACATCTGAACACCCAATAGCTTTTCTAGCACAAAGCTCCAAAGTCCTTCTATTATCCTCCCCAAAACATGCTCAAGTCTGTCACAGCAAAATCCCATGAACCTCTACCAATTTCTGTATTAATTAGGGTTTCTACAGCAACTTGGAAAGGAAAGGGTTCATTTCACCTTACAACTCTTAGATCACAAACCATCACTGAGGGAAAGCAGGGCAAGAACCTGGGAGCAGGAACTGAAGCAGTAACCATGGTAGAATGATGCTTACTGGATTGTTACTCATGGCTTGTCCAGCCTACTTTCTTACACAACCCCAACCACTTGCCCAGGGATGGCATGCAAAGTGGGTTGGTCACACTAATCAATTATCAAGAAAATGCTCTTCAGACTTTCCCTACAGGACAACCTTACTTTTCAGGTAAGATTCCCTCATCCCAGATACATCTAGGTTTTTCTCAAGTTGACACAAACAAACAAACAACAACAACAACAACAAAACCAACTACAACAAAAAAACCCAACCAGTACATGCAGGCAAAACATACAAAATTAAAGTTATAATTTGTGGGCCATTTGTTATTTTGAGTTAAGAAACATAGATCTGGTCATCTGGGGTGAAGAATCCACTACAATTAACAAGAGGCCATTTAACAGAAATGGCTCATCTGTTAAAAGTATCTGCTGCTTAGCTTGATGAGCTCAGTCTGATTCCTGGGAACCACATAGTATGAGATAAACATTTCTACAGTCTTCCTCTGATTTCTCTTCTCTCTCTCATAAAATTTTTAAAAAAAATACAAAACACAATTTGTGACTACTTATTGAACTTAGTAATTTGTGAGGTATGAGTTTTCTCCCAAGATTCTGAGATTTCAGCTTTAAGATAACAATCTTAGTTTAATCAAGAAACCAATTAGGATAATTTCAGAATCCCAGAGAGGCCACAGAATAAGTAAAGATGTCATTCTCTGTTAACTCTTCAATACTGAGTCAAAGCAACCACTTTTAGGAAGCTGAGTAACTCAGAATTTTCCAGGAAGAATACAGCATAGAAAGACACACAACGTCAAGTCAACAGTGCCCACTCTAGTAGTTGCTTTTCTGTGGCTGTGGTTAACACACGGTAAAACACCATGACTAAGGCATTATGTCAGGAAGAGGGTTTGTGGCTTAGGGTTCCAGATGGATGAATGTTCATTATGGTGGGGAGGAGTGACATTACACGACAGGCCTGTGGAAGGAGCAGGAAGCTGAGAGCTTACATCTTTACTGGCAAGCAGGAAGCAGAGAGAATACACTGGAAATGGTGAGGCTTTTACTCTAAAAACCTACCCCAAGTAGCACCACCAACTGGGGACTAAGTGTTCAAATACCTGAGACTATGGGAGTATTTCTTGCTCAAATCACCACACTACAACTCCTTGTCCCCTATGGGCTCACAGTCATATCATAATGCAAAAATACATTTAGTCCAATTTTAAGTCAGCACAGATTTCCAGTGTCTCAACATTATTTAAAAGTCTAAGGTCTCTTATAAAATCTCAAGGGAATCTCTTAAATGTAGCCCCTTGGAAAATCAAAACACAAATTATATACTTTTGACATACATTGGCACAGAATATGCATTACCATTCTAAAAAGGAGAAAAGGGAGCATAGTTAAGAAATACTGGACCAAAGCAAGACTGAAACCCAGCAGGGAAAACTTCAAATCCTGTAGCTCTATGTCTGATGTGTGGACTTTAATTTCAAAAGACTTAGCTGTCTCTGCCCCTCGAGCTTTGCAGCCTGTAACATACACCTCTGATTAGGCTGGTTTCACTCCCTATATGCAGCTCTCTCTGGCAAATATCCTATGGCTCTGGCTCTCTAACAGCTTGGGGTCTACACTCCTAATCAGCCTTTCACAGTTCCATGCAGGCCACATGATACATGCTGTCTAGCCTCAGAAGCTCTCTAAAGCCAGGGAGGAAGAATCCATGACCCTTCAGTTTTATATCCTTCATGCCTCTAAAATCAGCACCTGTGGACATCATTGCCAAGTTTGGCTACCAGCTTGGGATGGACCCTGGCCCCTTAATTACATTAAGCAGCAGAGCTTTTTAAAAGCAGAAAAGATCTTAGGTGCAGAAGGATCCAACTGCTAATATTACAAGTATACACCATGATACCTGAATTGAATCATTTGTCATAAAATGATGAAATAGTTTTGGAATATAATTACATACTAAATCATAGCAAAATGAAATATATAAAATATATATTCTTAATAAGTCTAAATATGTATACTTAATAAATTAAGTAAGACATTTAAACAATTTTTTGTCCTAAAATGGAAGCTTTTAGAATTATATTATTTCTTATATTTTTGGTTGTGAGCCTAGCCTTTAACGGCTGAGCTATCCCTCTAGCCCAGAATTATATTATTTCTTTTTCTAAGATAGTCTCTCTATGTTGTCTAAGTTGGCCTTAAATGTTTAGGTTCAAGTGGTTTCCTGCCTAGTCTCCATCATAGCTGGGGCTACAGGCTATAAGCACAATATTTTAATACAAACTTTAAGTTCAGTCAGGATTGTGTAGACTTCTTATTTATGGACTTCAGTTCATTCTTGTTTTCAAAGAGAAGTCTGAGTATTCAAAAACAGACCTAATGCAGTGACTGCTGGCCTCATTACCCACTTGCTTCAGAACTCTTTCCCTCTGAGTTATTTCCCCATAGTTTTAAATATGATCACAGATCTAGCAGCACTATACATTCAGTATGTATTTTTCGGTTTTCAAGGATAATTTTTAGACCTAAAAATGTGTTCAAACAGTTAAAGTTACAATTAACATCCTCAATAAAGGATACTGCATTTTACCTTTGTAAAGATGGCCAGAGGCATGCCATATTGGTCCTCTTCCAAACCAGAAATGAGTCCTGGTATCAGGACCACCTGCCTGGTGTTAGCTTGAGGTTGTACAGTAATTGGAAAACTGTCTGAGGGCACAGAGTCTTTCTGAAATAAGTTTGTTTGGTCTGACCCTATCTGTTCCCTTTCTTTCAAGGAGGAGTCCTCTAAAACACTAGGATCCAAAGTTTCCCAGTCACTTTCTGAAGACTCTGGAGACGGACGAGGTGGAGGTTTCAAATAGCAGACAGTGTCACTGGGTTCTTGTTCTCTGTTGTTGTTATCTTCTACTTGGAAGCAAGGCTGCTCCATCTGGAGGACAGTGTTTCCTGAAGTGATTTTCGTGACAGTTCCCAAGCTGGTGTTTGAAATGTCAGAAGTGGACTCAGAAATAAAATCATTTGCAGGGGGATTACTTTCCTGAAGCCCAATGTCTTCAGACATACTCTTTCGGGGTCTATACTGAGAACAGTCACTGAGGCCATGTTCAATCATGCCTAAAATATAAAATATTGAAGAACAGCTTAGATTATAATAATATAGAAGAAAATAAGAGGTATATATTCTGTTTTATAGAGTAGAAATCTATAATTTTTTATAAGCTATATTTGTACCTGTTTTAATAATTTCTATTAAAAAAGGAAAGCTGGGTATGGTAGCACATGAATTAATCCCAGCACTTGTTAGGCATAGGGAGGCAGATCTCTGAGTCTGAGGCCAGCCTGGTCTACAAAATGGGTTCCAACACAATAAGGACTACACAGAGAAATTCTATTTTGTGGGGAGAAAAAGTTAAGATGGGAGCTGGCAAGATTAAGGATGTTTGCCACCAAGTCTGAACACCTGGGTTCAATACCACAACACACACACAGTGGAAGAAGGGAACATTCTCATAAGCTGTCCTCAGGTCACCAGCATGCCATGGCTTATCAACAACCCCCTCCACACAATAAAGGCTAAAAAAAAATAAAGAAAGAAACACAGGCTTATTGCAGGGTATTTGATCACACTGTGTGAAGATGTGTTACTGTTTTACCTCACCTGCCTAAGGCACCTTCTGATTGGTTTAGTAAAGAGCTGAATGGCCAACAGCTAGGCAGAAGAAGATAGGTGGGACTTCCAGGCAAAGCTAGGAACTCTGGGAAGTATCTGAGAATCAGGGGATTTGTCAGTGAGATGCAGAGAAAGTTGGACATACGGTACTGAGGAGAGGTAGTTGAACGATGTGGCAGATGTAGATGAATATAAACAGGTTAAGTTTTAAGAGCTAGTTGGGAATAAGCCTAAGCTAAGGTCAAGCTTTCATAAATAATAATAAGTCTCTGTGTCATTACTCAGGAGCTGGTAGTCCAAAGAAAGACCTGCTACATTGGCTAAAAGAAAAAACCTATTACCCAAAGAAAAATTAAACAGAAATGTTAACCCTACTAGTTTATTTTTGTATACTTTTATTACTAAAAGTCTAAACTCCAATAACATTAAACAAAAGTAGTTATGGCTATCCTCTTACCTGGAAAAAGGGATAACACGGTCATTAGTGCACCCACCAATCTATTCACTGGAGAAATGTAAAAAAGAACCTGAAATGGATTCAAATAAAATTAAATGAGAAAATTCATGAGACTATAATAATATATAAAGGAAGAATTCTTTGCATATGAGTAATACTTAAAAAAAAAAAAACAACAATACCCATGAGTCATGATTTAAAACAACAATAACAAATTAGCTTTCCCACCTACCAAAATTCAGGTAAAATTTGAGGTCTGGTGATGATTCAAAGGATAAAGGTGCCTACCAAGTTTGATGACTTTAGTTCAATCTGTGTGTCCTACACTGTAGAAATTGTCCACTGACCTTTACACATAAGTTGTGATGACTGTGCCCATGTAAATTGTGCGTGCATGCATGCACGCGCGCGCGCGCGCGCGCGCGCACGCACGCACGCACGCACACACACGCACACACACACACACACACACACAATGAGTTAACTAGACTTTGGGTTCGGTTAATTTCATAATTAAAAAAAATTAAGTTCTTTATAATAAGGTTTTAATAAATAAAAAAATGTAATTATAAAAATACTGCCAACAGACACTGAAATGATCATGATAGATTGATGGGCAACAGAATATTTATAATATGTTAGATTTACTGTCCCACAAATTATTGGCTAAGATAGTTTGTCACCTTAACCAAATGATCAAATTTTCATATTATCAAGAACAGTACAGGGCTGGAGAGATGGCTCAGAGGTTAAGAGCACTGCTTGCTCTTCCAAAGGTCCTGAGTTCAATCCCCAGCAACCACATGGTGGCTCACAACCATCTGTAATGAGATCTGGCGCCCTCTTCTGGCCTGCAGGGATATGTGCAGACAGAATACTGTATACATAATAAATAAATCTTAAAAAAAAAAACAAAACAGTACAGTTGTGTCATATTCTGAGGTAATGTCATCACTGATTTATCATCTTGCTAAAAATGCTTAAAACGTTTAATCTGAAACTAACCACAAGAAAACAATCACACATTTAATTCTATAATACTTGACTAGATTCTTTTAAAAAGTGCCAAACTCACTTTAGCAGCACAGATACTAAATTTGGAAGTATACAGAGAAGATAAGCATGTCCCCTGTGCAAAGATGACATGCAAATTCATGAAGTACTCCATATTTTAAAAAAGTGTCAATCATGAGGACTAGAATTCAGGTTCCAATGTCCATGTAACAAGCTGGGCATCACCCTTTGCATGCTATAAAACCAGCTCTGAGGCAGTCTGAGCCTAGGGGATTGCTGAGGCTTGCTGGCTTCCTGTATAGCTGAAGAAATACAAGTCACAGGTTAACAGAAACCATAACCCAAAATAAATAGGTTGACTGATTGATGAGGATACCCCCAAAACCCTCTGTTAGCCTCAGCATGCAGGAAAAGGTGCTCCTAATTGTACATACACCCACACAGACATATGTAATATATACACAATCAGTTAAAAAGTGCCAGTCATGAAATTCAAGAGGAAATGGGGTAAAGAGGCCGGACTGGGGAGATGGCCCAGTGTTTAAGAAAATACATTACTTTAGCAGAGGACCTGAGTTAGGTTCCCAGCACCCACATCACCCAGTTCACAAATGCCTGTAATTCCAGTTCAAAGGGATCCAAAGTTCTTTTCTGGATTCTGAGTGTACCTGTACTAATACATATAGACACATGCCCACATATATAAACAGTTAAAAATGAAATAGATCTAAACAAAAGAAATGAATAAACAAAAGAGTATGAGGTGATGAAACATTTTGATTTGGAGTTAGATATGCTACCATTGAGCCATGAGGTCTCCTAATAAAATAATAAGAGACTAGAGGGAGCTAGAAAGGTAATAAAGGATTCCTGACTGGTTCCTAGATTAAAAAAAAAAAACAAACAAAAAAAAAAAACGATTATACATTTTATGTGTAATAGTTAATATGGATCCCCTCAGTCATTTATTATCTTTCTGTAAACATATTGAAAACTCTGTTCCTTACCATTCTTTACAATTACAATTTTTATAGAAGATAAATTACTAAGAGACTGATGGGATAGGCCAGAGATACCAGAGAAATAAATGCAAAGGCTAAAGTGTAACAGAAACAACAACATTTAGAGTGTGAATTGTCAGGTAGTTACTATGTAGTCTAGGCTGGTCTGGAACCTACCACCATTCTGAGATTACAAGCATGTGATACTGTCTTCTGACTTTTTTTTTTTCAATAGATCACTAGAATTTTTAAAAATTAAATTTTATTTTATGTGTGTTTTGTCTGCCTGTATGTCTGTGAACAATGCATGTGCCTGTGCTTGGTGAAAGGCCAGAAAAGGATCAGATCCCCTGGTACTGGAGTTATAGACGGTTATGAGCCACCATGTAGGGGTACTGGGAATCAAACCCAGTGACTCACTGTGGAAGAACAGCCAGTGCTCTTCTAACTCCAGCCCCTAGACCTGGGTTTTTAAACTTTATTTTGTATTCATGTTTATAGGTGTTCTTGCACACGTCTAAATGTGTGTGGAGGATGGAATGCAACAATGAGTATCTTTTGCAATTCTTCTCTACGTTATTATGTTTTGAGACAAAGTCTCTCACTAAATCTGGAACTCACGGCTGGCCAGATGAGCTAGCCAGCAAGCCAGCAAGCCTTCAATCTCCACCTCTCCAGTGCAGGGATCAGGGAGCATGCTACTGTGCCAGTTTTTACATGGTGCTGAACTCAGGTGCTTACACTTACATGGCAAGCATTTTACTGACTGAGCCATTTCTCCAACCACTAATGTCCTATTTAGAATAAAAATCCACTCTCTAAAGTCCCCACAATGACATTTAATAATTCCAGTAATAAAAAATTTCTCTATTTCACATAGTATATTATAATTACATTATTTATGGACAAATCTAATTAAAATTTTAAGGAATTAAAAGAAGAAATCAGCTATCAAGGACATTATTATAGCTAGAAGTCGTGCTGTATTCTTATAATCCCAGGATTCAGAGTTTAGAGGTAGGAGGATTATGAATTTTCAAGCAACCTGGGCCACATTCAAATCTTGTTCAAAAAAGGAAAAAAGAAGAGAGAAGGACATAACATGTAGGGGAACTTAAAACAGTCTGTGTATTATATTCTCCTGCCATGTTTCAGTGAATCTGTATCTGCTTATAAAACTAGGATCACAGGGACTAGAGAAATAGCTCTGTGATTAAGAACACTCCCTGATTTTGCTGATAAACCAGGTTCAGTCTGCAGCACCCACATGGCAGCTCACAACCATCTGTAACTCCAGAGGGTCTATGCCTTCTTCTGGTCTCTGTAGGGCACCAGGCACACGTGTATTGCACCTACACACACACAGGCAAAACACTCATAAAATAAATAAAATGTAAAAACTGGATTACAGTCTTATGGTTGGATAACTTTTAACCTAACATGCCATGAAACATCTTGACAATAAAAAGTATTGGGGGGGTTTTATTGTTGGAGTTACATGCAACACACAATAGTTAGCTACTCATTTTAAGTGATTCTGTGATGGACTCTTTCAGGTAGTTTTGCATCCAACTCAGGTTAATTCTGAAAAAGAAATCCCTAACAGGAGAATTATTGGGGCAAAGGAATAATTGGCTTAAGGTCATGAGCCATAGCAAGCATAGTGCCTAACTAATCCCTTAACCTCCTTTCTACCTTATTTGCACTGAATGCAGTCAACATGGGATATAAAATTGGTTTATTACAGAGCTGGCTTCTGACTAGTCTAAACCAGAATTTCAGAAAACTTTTTCTATAAAGGGTCAGACACATTTGCTTTGTGGGCCATATGGTCTCTCACAACTACTCAACTCTGCTCCTACAGGATAGAAACAGCTACATACAATAAGCAAATATTAGGGATGCCTGTTTTCCAATTTAAGAACAACTGCTGCTCTTGCAAAAGACCTGAGTTCAATTCCTAGCACTCCCATTAGGTACCCTGTAATTACAGCTACAGAGTATCTCATGCCCTGCATATGGCTTCCACAGGTACCTGTATACACATGCACATACCCACATACAGACATACACATAAACATAAATACACACATATAAATACAAATAAAATAAGCCTTAAAAACAACAAACTTCTATAAAAGTGGTAAGCTAGAATTGGCTATGAGACCTAGTTTATAGACCTGAGGTTTACAACAGTTATGGCAACCCCAAGTTCAATCTCTTTATAGTACAGAGTGGTTTGGAACCCAAGTTTAAGCCAATTAGCATAGGCAGGCTTTTGGTCACAATTCTGAATCTAGTGGTGGGCATACTGCCTGATGGGCCCAAACAAATTGAAAGAAAAAATTCATATTCGGTGGTTTGAGAAGTGGGTATTATGTCTGAGGAAGCAAATAGTCAAATTACTGTTGGTAGTTTCTTGTATACAAGAGAGCTCAGCTCTGGGTAAAATTAACTGGACTATAGGACAAGAGAACACCCAAGGTCGTGATACCCTGGAAGCACCAAGTCTGACTGAGCCAACACATTTCCTTTTCTATTTAAGTTAGTTTAAAATCAAACTGCCTCCAAAAAGAGAACACAAACTTGTATGCTTATGACAGGAAAGAAAATAATTTTGTGATTTGATAGACATTTGATAGATCATTTGATAGACAAAATGTCTTAATACTTAATCATTAATTCCCATGTTACATAACATGTAAGCAATGTCAATAAAAGATAAAGCATCTGTTCTTCCTTTTATCCTTCTATATCTCACCTTTTTTTCAAGAAGAATTAGCTTAAACAGGATCAAGACCTGAAGAAGGAAAAAGAAATACTGTGTTAAAATAAGAAATCAATTGCTATTTTCTTTTCTCAAATATAATCATGTTATATACTATTAAATAATTATAGTACTTAAGATACATGAGAAATTAGGAACTTGAATTGAGAAATTAAGTATTACCTATGTCCTCTACAAATATGAGAATCATTTAACCTTTAATTGAAATAGTTTTTTTTTTTTTTTGGAAGGAGTAGTGTTATCTTTGCTTGAAAAATTTCAAGCTTCTGAAAAGGCAGAGATTTGAGGCTGGGGAGTGACTCAGTTCATAACATGCATGCCTACTGTGTATGACAGCCCTGCATTCAGATTCCCAGAATCATTTAAGCTATGCATGGTGGTGCACACTTGTGATCTCAGCACTCAGAGGTGGAAGCAGAAGTATCAGAAATTCATGGTCATCCTTAGCTACACAGTGAGTTCAGGCTAGTCTGGGATATATAGCATTTACATGGATAGTCAATAAAGGTTTGGTAAATAAATAACAAATGTGTGTATATCCTAGACAACATATACTTTAACAATAAAGATTATAATTTCTGGTACCAAAAACCACAAGAAAATAAAAAATAATTTATATAGAAAAATGTTCCACTTTTAGGGAACAACATTTTTTTCTACCTACTAAGTGAGATTGCAAAGACTGCAGAACGAAGGAATCAAAAGCAAACCCTATCCAGCAAGAGGTACTCCCAGACTTTTACCACAAATACTCCTGACATCTCCAGCTCTGTGTGGTTATGAAGCTGTCTTAGAAGAGCAAAACCACAATTATGCCATCAGCTGATTGTGATGCTGCCTTGAGTTCACAGGAAAAGGAACCCAAGAACAGCCTTTCCCATTTCAGTACATCGCAAGTTGAAGGATATCTATCACACCTTGTGTCGAAAATGAAGAACAAGATCTCGAGGAGACAGACCTACAATGTAAACAAGAGAGCTAAATGTGAAAGGAAGAGAATATCTAAAAAAGCAAATGAGAATATGTAAATATTCAAACATTTATATAATAGTTGGTGAAATACATATATACTCAGAAAGAGTACTGTTGAACAGAATCTTCCCCAAGGATGAAAAGGTTTAAAATATGCCCTGTCAGACACATTAGCCACTGAGCACTTCAAATGTGGCTCTTAAATTTTATTAACTGCAATATAAATACACATATCTATACACTATTAGTGAATACTGTTTTAAACACTGGGTTTAACACTTCTTCTATTCTACAAACATAAACCACAGAAGTTTAAAAATCATTAAGCTTACACCATAGTGGCAGCCAGTCATTTAAACATGACTTCTGGTCACTGTATTACATATACTATTATTTCTGAATCACACTGTTTTCCAATCATCCATCTCAAACACCACAGTAAAAGAGAAAACAATTTATAAATACATTCTCAGAACAGGACTATCTAGCTGACTTTCTGTTTAAGACTGCACTAGTATTGGCTACTTCACATTGAAATGGAAACTGAGGAAACACACATCACCATAGCATTACAACTCTATTTACCACAAAAGAATATTTACTGAGTACCTCAGGTAACAACGGATGTTTTGAGCTGTCAAAATAGTGTACATTTAACAAATCCCCAAGTTGAAGAATTTCAGTCAAGAGCTAAGCAGCACCCCACCCCCATCCTACTGGTAATTACACTGATCAGCATTAACAGAAAGAAGTTCAGTACTATTCAAAGAACTGAAACTCACCTGTGCAATACCTGTAACTGTCACTACCAGCATAAGCTAATGATTAATCTTGTATGAATGCTAGCTAAGAGGGTATTTAAGGAAGAAGTAAATTTAAGAACTTAGATACCATACAAAGATTGTGTAAATAATTATTTGTATAATATTCAATGAAATGCACATATGCTTGACAGTTCTGATCATGACCAGTTACATGCAACCCAGTTTGGCCACAGCCAACTTTGAGGACATAGCTTCTGACCTGCAAGTTACTTACCAAGATACACCTGCGATCCTTCCAATGAGGCCCCTCCTAAGGAACTGTTCATATGCTCATAGAGCTCCTGCGGAATGCAGACCGAATTTAGAACCTTTCATTGTCACTTTAGACACTAAGCTCCTAGAAATACGACGATCAGAAAAGGATTGTGTAGGTTATTCTGCTACCTACTAAATTAAGCAACCATTGTCTCTGAAACCTACTAGTTTGGGGCACTCAACTCATTCCTTCTCTTGTGGACATGAACAATATCAGGAGAATACCGGAGCAAAAAGAACAAAAAGATACTCCTTTTTTGATCCATTCCAGAGCTTTAATAGTGGTATGAATTACCTTCCCCCTGCTTCCTCATTAAAATCCTAACTGTCCCAACTTTACCCAGGCCCAGGACAGATCGAGAACTCTATACTAATGCCAATCTTGAGAAAAATATGCTATCCTTCTTCAATGAAATACCAGGAACTAGAAGCTAGATACTCAAACTTACAGACACAATGCTATAGCAAAACACTACTCCTTGTAAGAGGCATTGATGCTAATTGTTGACAGTCACTCCCTCCTCAAGGACAGTTTGAGTTTAGTACTTGGGTAGATCTCACTAGAATATCAATGGTTAATGCAAATATATTTTAAATAAAGATTTATTTTAAATTTATTTATTTATTTTAAAGATGAATTTAAATTTTTTTACTAATGTACATGTGTGTCCCTAAGGAAGCCAAAGAAGATATCAGATCCTTAGGTGGTTGTGAGCCACCATGTGGGTGCTGGGAACCAAATCTGGTTCCTCTACAAGAGCAGCAAGGGCTCTTAAGCACTGAACCATCTCCTCAGGCCCAAGCAAACGGACTTTCACACCATGTTTTCTTAAACTATCAAGAACTGTCCTTCACAGTACTACTACAAGAGCTACTTGATTCATTAAGCTACCTTCCACCAAATATATTTGTAAGGAAATTAGTTACCTTTAGAATAGAAATTTGGGAAAAATCTTTCTCTTCAAAATATGCATGTGTAATGAGTTGCAATTTTGCTTGAAGTAAGCCATAAAGAGGCTAAAGAAAAAAAGAAACCATCATTAGGTTGATCATAGTAAACAAAAGGAACCAACAAATCCCTACAACCTTGTAATGTGAAGATATCAGGGAGGAAAGTTAGTGATACCAACTGCAGGACCCACACACATAGCTGGAAGCTGTTAGATCACAGTCTCACTCTTCGGCAAGGTGGTGAGTCAGGCTACGACTCTGGGCCTGGCTCCATCTTTCAGCTGCTTAATTAGGGGCCCTTAACCGCTCCATGCCTCCTCACCAAGCTGACCCTGTACACAAAAAGGCACAACTTCTATGGCTGTGTTAAGGATTAAATAATAGGTAAAGCACTTAACAGAGTCTCTGGCACATAACAAGAATGTCAATAGCTACTGCCTTTCATTCTGTTGTGGTAATATCTAATCATCCTCAAACAGCCTGGTTCTTACACCAAGTTGATCACTTGGTTTGATTTAAGTTTACATCCTTTCTTTCCTGTTATCTGTGAAAGGTGAGAGCACCTAGTCTATGTCTTCTACAATACTACTATTTTGTATATTTGAATAAAGTTATTCCTCAATTCTTATTTTTCCTACCCAAAATGAATCATATCCACCTTTTAACATTTTTTTTTTTTTTGAGACAGGGTTTCTCTGTGTAGCTTTGCGCCTTTCCTGGAACGAACTCTGTGGACCAGGCTGGCCTCGAACTCACAGAGATCCGCCTGGCTCTGCCTCCCGAGTGCTGGCATTAAAGGCGTGCGCCACCACCGCCTGGCAACCCTTTAACGTTCTTGAGACATTTTTTCTTTATGTGTCCCTTTTAGAATACAAGTAAGACTGAACTAGTCCCCTGTTGCAGAGTATTTGTTTACACTGTGAATACGTGTCTTTGCCAAGATGCCTTCTGATTGGTATAAAGACCTGAATGGCCAATAAAATAGCTAGGCAGGAGAAGTTAGTAGGGACTTATTAGGACAGAGGACTCTGGGAAGAAGAAAAGTGGATTGCTAGCCAGAGTCAGAGGAAACAGGAGGTGCAAGATGGAAGAGAGGTTATGCCACATGGCAGAACATAGATTAATATAAGTGGATTAATTTGTTATAAGAGCTAGTTGAGGGGCTGGAGAGATGGCTCAGCAGTTAAGAGCACTGGCTGCTCTTCCAGAGGTCCTGAGTTCAATTCCCAGCAACCACATGGTGGCTCACAACCATACGTGATGAGACCTGGTACCCTCTTCTGGCCTGCAGGCAAACACGCAGGCAGAACACAGTACATAATAAATTAATAAATCTTTTTTTTTAAAAAAAGTGTGTTTTGCCAGGTAGTGGTGGTGCATGCCTTTAATCCCAGCACTCGGGAGGCAGAGGCAGGTGGATCTCTGTGAGTTCCAGTCCAGCCTGGTCTACAGAGTGAGCAAGTTCCAGGACAGCCAGGGCTGATAAACAGAGAAACCTTGTCTCAAAAAACCAAAAAAGAAAAAAGAAAGAAAAAAAAAAAAAAGAACTTGTTGAGACAAGCCTAAGTTAAAGGCCAAGTATTCATAATGAATAAGTCTCATTATTTGGGAGCTGGCTGGCAGGACAGAGAAAGACTTGTTACAGTCCCCATCCCTATAAATGTACGAATATTATCATTAAGTACAATATCATTACATTTTCATATCCATTACAATGCACTATGAACATGTGGACCTTTCTGATTAAGTAAGTTGTTCTCATTCCTATGTCTCTTTCAGAGGCAGACAAAACTGGATTTTTACCCTATTTTTAAACTTAGTAGTCTCATATATATGAGAATTAGCTATTGTTACTCTAAAATATGTTTATCTGTAAAATGAGATGAACAAAGATATGTCAACATTGTTAGGAAAATAAGAAAGACAATGTTATATAAAATGTCTAGTAATAATTAACACCTGACACAGACAGACAGGAGGTGGTCTCTGCTATTCAAACTGCCCTCTCAAGGTGACTACTCAGGAGCCTTTCAGCATGTATCTACTTACACATACAATATCCTATGATTTGCTTAACTGGTCCTGTACACAAATTATCTGAGATATATTTTTCAGGCTATCCATCTAGAAACTGCATTATTATTATTATATCATAGTTAGAGTTATTATGATATGGCATGGCATGCTGGTGCACACCTTTAATCCCAGTATTCATGAGGCAGAGGCAGGTGGGTGGAACCCTGTGAGTTCAAGGCCAGCCAGGGCTACAATAGTGAAAACCTTTTTGCTCCTGCAAGAAAAAACAAGTCTATTTTATGTATGTTATTATTAATTCATGGTTTCTTCTCCCATCTTTTCTTCTTCCTTGCCCTCTTACCTTTCAGATAGTAATAAAATCCCAAATAAAACTTGCAAACGTCGATTTACATTATACAAAACTTTATTTTTTGGTTTTTCAAGGAAGAGTTTCTTTGTGTAGCTTGGCTGTCCTGGAACTCTCTGTAGACCAGGCTGGCCTCAAACTTACAGAGATCCACCTGCATCTGCCTCCAAAGTGCTGGGATTAAAGGCGTGTGCCACCACCACCGGGCTAAAACCTG